TCTGCATGGTACAATTCTAATAATTTTAAAAAACGCAAGCAATTTAGCAGGAAAACAAGCATCGTGTACCGATCATTAATTATATTTTTACAGTTTAATATTTATACCATACTTATATAATTTAATATTTTCTTATTTTTGTCTTTTTTTTTATTTTGCAATACATTACAATTATTAATGTATTTCTTTTAGTTTTTTACATTTAATTAATTTGCTGTACATACAAATGAACTAGAGCAGCTAGAAAGAAAGAGAGAGAAAAAGGAAACTAAAGAGCAAGTGAGATAGAAGTTTAGATGGCGTTACTGGGGAACTTACTGATTTCGCGCATGCGCACTCCATTTTTGCCAACACTAACATCAAAGGTGCCGACAGAGAGTTGCGCTACTGTATATACTGTGCCCAGGGTTGCCAGGGAGCTTATTACGTTTTTTGTGACGAAGTGAAAACTACAAAAATGATCAAATTCACTAGATGTTAACCAATGAAGTTATAAATATTCTAGTAAATTCAATCACTTTTGTAATTTTCACTTCGTCATAAGGAACCGTAATAAGCCCCCAGATGAACCAGGGGATCGATTCTGGGGGTCGATTGTGTATCTCGAAATGAGGTGAAAATTACAAAAGTGAGCAAATTCACTAGAATATTCATAATTTAATTGGTCAATAACTAGTGAATTTGCTCACTTTTGGAATTTTCACTTTATTTCAAGAATCGACTCCCTAGAACTTAATACGGTTTCTTGTGACGAAATGAAAATTACAAAAGTGATTGAATTTACTAGAATATTTATAACTTCATTGGTTAACTTCTAGTGAATTTGATCATTTTTGTAATTTTCACTTTGTCACAAAAACCGTAATAAGCTCCCCTGTATCTTGAAACGAGATGAAAATTACAAAAGTGAGCAAATTAACTAAAATACTGATAATTTCATTGATGAACACCTAGTAAATTTGCTCACTTTTGTCATTTTCACCTTGTTTGAAGATACAGAATCGACCCCCAGGGACCACTGACAAGATAACAGACAAATTGAATATTTCTGATTTATTTATGTCTATGGCTGCGGTCTACTTGATGCTACAAACGCTTCGAAGAGTTTGAACTACCAATCAGAACAAAGAATTTTACGAATTGATTAATCAAAGAATGCTTCGAAGCGTTTGTAGCGTCAAATGGACCGCAGCCTATATAATTTGGGAATCATTTGGGGAAATTTGGGAAAAGCATTTAAACATTTGGGAAATAGTATTTTTCTTGTAATTAACAAATTTTATCATGCGTCAAATTAGCAGATAGCGATTTTATTTAATGTGTTTTATGAATGGAATCGATTAGAAATTATTTGGGGAAGACGTCTTCATTATTATTTTCATTTGAGAAAAGTCACTGGCTACGTTTACACCGTGCATTTAGGCCGCGGCCTATATAATAGACATCCTTGTTTATATTAAACAAAGACACCTATCGTGTAGGTCGCGGACTAAGCGTACGGTGTAAACGTAGCCACTATTTGGTAATTCAATAGATTTATACATTACGAAAACGAACAAAGCCCGGGTATAGTATGGGTGTAGTTGATGTAGTACAATGAATATAGTAAACCTAAAATCGTCAAAAATTAAGCTCGGATCTAATTATGCGTAGTTATGAAACTGGCCAATCACAGTCGTTCCATTCTTCCGAGGAACAGCTGTGATTGGACAATTTCATAACTACGGATGTTATTATTAAACCCGATTAAGCGTGCCGTGTAGCAGAAGTCATTGAAAAGCAGATTAGGTGTCAGCATGTTGGATTAAATGATTGGATGGAAAAAATTACGACCAATATAAAAAAAGATACAATTAAAATGAATTTCGTAGTCAACAGAATCTCAATACCTGTTCTGATCAGAACAGGTAAATATTATGTATTGAGATTCTGTTGCCTACAAAATTCATTTTAATTGTATCTTTTTTTATATTGGTCGTAATTTTTTCCATCCAATCATTTACTGCAACATGCTAACACCTAATCTGCTTTTCAATGACTTCTGCTACACGGCACGCTTAATCGGGTTTAATAATAACATCCGTAGTTATGAAATTGTCCAATCACAGCTGTTCCTCGGAAGAATGGAACGACTGTGATTGGCCAGTTTCATAA